ATATATATATATATATATATATATAGTAGTGTATATAATATATATTATAGATATAATCAATATTTCTTTTTCATCATAAAATTAAATACCTTATAGCAATAAGTACAAAAAGTATGATCACATTTGCTACAAATAGCTAGAGTATCATCATCAGTTTTTATAAGTGGACATAGACATGAAATTCTAGGACAAAAGATTACATCTCTCATAGTATTCAATGTTATATATAGTAACATATTTTCATATTTTGAAAATAATTCTGGACAAAATTTCTTAATTTCATTAAATGTAATGTCAAGATTACAATTTAAATTAGGGCATGTAACATATTTTACATTATTTTCTTTAATTTTCATAGTAATGTATTGTTGTATACAATTTTTACAATATACATGACTACAATTTTTAAGCTTTATACATTGTTTTCCACAAAATTCATCAAAACATATAATACATAAAAAATGATTATTTTCAAATTCAATCTCTTGTTTATATTTATCATAAGTTATTAAAAATTTCAATGGATTAAAAAATAATATACTATATATAGCTCTAATATCATTTTCAAATATTAAATTTAACTTAAAATAATCTGTTATATTATGATATGTCATATATATAAATGAAATATCTAATGTATCTTTAATATTAAGAAAATTAAGGACTTCATTTCTTAAAAATTCAAACCACAAAAACAATATTTCTTGGCCTTTATTTTGTAGCCATATCTCATCTAATTTTTGACAAATAAGAGATATCTGCCAAGGTGAAAGCCACGAGGAAATAATATAGAAGTTCGGTGACTTTCCAGTAGGATAATCTGTATTAAGTTGTAAATACACTCTAATAGGTGGTAAGTATTTGACAAGATAATTAGAAAATGAGTCAAAATCCTTTTCATAAATATTTTCGAGTCTCAGTAAATCACCACTGACAACAGGAAATGCATTATAATAGCATTGTATTATATCTTCTTTGTTATGAGAGAATTCATTACTATTATAAATATTTGAAAGCACTAAAACTTCATCTTCTTGTCGTTTTCGGTTATCAATCATAGATCGCAGCATTTCGGAATGAACGTATGTAATACTTATCATCGCCGATAAATAGATTTCTTAATAAGAAATCTAATAAGAATTGAGAATTTTCTATTTCCAAGTTTCACTATATTAATTTCCATTCGTTCGTGAATTTTAAACAAAATCGTAAAAAACTATTTATAGTACTCCGTTATATTTATGTTTAGTTTAAATTCTGTTTTACTTTATCATTTTTTGCTCAATAGCAATTACCACATTAACAAAAATGAATGTTTTTAGAAAAAATTAAGAAAGCAATTCCGAACTGATCATAGACAAGATTGCAACTGGATGCTTATAATCTCTAAACCAAAATCTTACTAGGACGTATCAATTGATGTGGCTCTAAATAATACTAAATAAATACTAAATAATACTAAATAAAAATAATAATAATAATACTTCAGGAATTTTATCTATTTTTAAATTGGCGCGTTATTATGAAATAGTATTATTGTTTCTATGCTTACATTTTTCTATATTCATAAATAATTATGTATGATTAATTTATGAATAATTATTTAATAATTTAACAAATTATTTCGCCGCGAAAGGATTTTTATAAAATTATTAACTATTTTGGTAACTAGTACTGTTTTCAATTATTACTGTTTTTTTAGCTTATCATGATGACAATTATTTTGTAATCCTAAATACATTTCCATTTTTAGAGAAAAATACATTGCATTTACGGTACATTTAAAAGAAAAGTATATATGTAAGTTGTTTAACTGTTTTTATTCAATTTATTTGATTTTTTAAATATTTGTTATTAAAATAATGTAATGTAATTAATATTAAATTAATACATTTTCATTTTTTTCAATAATGAATTATGATAACATAAAATTAATAAACTTAATATTTATATATAGGAAATAATAAAGTACGAATTATATATTTAAAGGCATATAGATACAGTACAATAGTAGAAAATAGAAAGATACATATACAAACTGAGGCAAAATTAGGTCAGAAAATATAGGTTAGACTGAATCGTCTGTGAAATAAGAACTAATTTGAAGGAAACAAGTATTTATTTCTTAAAAATAAAATGGTAGAGATAGAAGCGAAACATACTCTTCACAGTGGCATTTTTCATCCAGTTTTACGTCAATGGCAATCACCAAATGTAGAAATTACGGTTGATGCTCTCATGTATCCAATCTTCATCTCGTAAGTGAAATTCATATCTACCGCTTTTATTATTTACGTGTATATAGCAAAGTTTGTAGGCATTTTATAAAACATATTTATATTTATGTCTTACATCTATCTCCTACAGATGGGATAGATTTGATGTTTTCTGAAAATAATTTTTTATGTTACATAAGTATATTAGAAAGTATATTCACTTTCTGAAATTTATACAAAAATTAAATTTAATATTCAATTAACAATCTATATAACGTTTTGTTTTTTCCTACATATACATTTTTCTTACAGCGATGAACAAGATGCTAAAGAACCAATTGCTAGTATGCCAGGTGTTTATCGGTATGGGATTAATCATTTGGAAAAAATGTTACAACCATTAATTTCTAAAGGATTACAATCTATATTATTATTTGGAGTATCAAAACATTTGAAGAAGGTAAATCTCTTATAAGAAAGATTTAAATAAAATAGTTAAAAAATGATACCTTTAATAGGATCACATTGGAAGTAATGCAGATAGTACGCAGAATCCCATTATACAAGCTGTACCATTAATAAGAAATTGGTTTCCAAATTTACTAATAGCATGTGATGTATGCTTATGTGCTTATACTGTTCATGGCCATTGTGGAATTTTAAATGAAGATGGAAGTATAAATAATAAAGCCAGTATCGAACGTATTTCTGAAATTGCTCTTGCATATGCAAAAGCTGGTAAGATTTTTTTTTCAAATATATAGATGTAATATTGAATATTATCTATTTATTTACAAAGGAGCTCAAATTGTTGCACCGTCTGATATGATGGACGGGAGGATAAGTGCAATAAAAAATAAATTAGCAGCAGCTGGATTAATGAATAAAGTTGCAGTTTTATCATATGCTGTGAAATTTGCATCAGGATTTTATGGACCTTTTAGAGATGCTTCACAATCTGCACCTAAGTTTGGAGATAGAAAATGTTATCAGTTACCTCCAGGAAGTAACGGATTAGCAGCTAGAGCGGCTGTTAGTTTCTAACTATGTAAACTTCTTTATTTCCTATTATTTTCTTAAATAAAACAAGTAAAATATTTTTTTTAGGCTAGAGATGTTTCTGAGGGAGCTGACATGCTTATAGTAAAACCAGGTTTACCTTACTTGGATGTTGTTAGACATACGAAAGATGCACATCCAGAGTATCCAATGTTTGTGTATCAGGTTTCAGGAGAATATGCTATGCTTTATCATGGTGCTCAAAATGGTGCAATAAATTTAGAAAATGTTTTGAAAGAAGTACTTTTATCAATGAGAAGAGCAGGTGCTGATTGCATCATAACATATTTCACACCACTAATTTTAGATATGTTACAACCAAGAAGTAAATATTAATATAAATATTAAACATTAAATTAAATACTTAACATTGGTATATAACTAAATAAGTATAATACTGATTTGGTGTGGTAAATAAATATTTTTATAAATTTTGTTGTTTATTATTTCATGAAATATGAATTAAGAGAGTTTTATTTGAAGTGAAGACAGAAGGACAAAAATAAAAATAACTGTGTTAATTAATGTAAAATAATTCCCTTATATTTAATTACATTGCCCACGTAAGAGTTGAAATTTTGTAAGAATATATGTTAAAATAAAAAAGAAAATTTGACCTTTTTTATTAATTTTATCTAAATAATAAAATTACATATCAAAAGATTATCTTTTACAACTAATGTTTTTAATATATAAATTTTATATATATATATATAAAATTACTAAAGTGCTAATTATTTATCTATATGTATAAATAAAATTTACATATTAAAAATTATTATTAAACATTATTAGTTGCAAAAAAATAATCTTTTACATATTATACATATTTAAAAATTATATAATTTTTTACACGTTTTATATATTTAATATTATTGTAATAATATATTTATTATATATATATATTATATTATTGATAAATATATTTTCATAAGGAATAATATATAGAGATATAATTAAATATAATCTATTAATAACAAACGATAAAAACTTTACATAGAACATATAATTTCTTACACGTGATAACAACAAGTGAGGGATATTGTTTTCACGTGTTACATAAATTTCTCTTAGCATTAATTCCACCAATGATAGAAGTACTCGAAATTTCCAGAAATACGGTACCGTTGTGACGTGGGCCTATCGATAGCAGCCAACTGTATGTGGTATAACCAATTAACATTCGTCTTTCCCTTAGTACGGATACTTCGAGACCAATCAACGTAGGCCACGACGTATTCACCTTGTTAATATCCCAGTTCTGAGAGCGACTTGTAGTCATTCCTAGTTATTCGTGTTGATCGTAAAGTCGTGTTGAGAGTAATCAAGCTTTTTACTTCTGAAAAGAGGAAAGACATATATTTAATTTGGTAAGTAGTAAATGGCCAAAGTTAAGAACTGTGTGGCTAAATCGACATTAATAAATCTGAAAAAGGTATTGCACTTGAAACTTCATACAACGCTGTGGACACTGACTACTGTCCTGCCACGTCTTGTTACAAAAGGCTGTAGTATACTTTTTATATTTTATTCAGTATAAAGAATTGCTATTAAAGTTCTGTAAAATACATGAAACATAATTATCATATCAGTTTCAATTGTTAACGTGTAACGTAAGAGAACGTACTCGAAGTGTTTTGTATGGTACCATAGGTAGCGAAATATGTTTCCCGAACCGGAACACTGCTTCAACAAGTAATTTCACTCGTGTTTTATTATTTTTATCAATTGTATCTGCGAACAATATCACTGTCCTTCAATAGTGTTCAAATTTTTATAATGTTCTCTTTTGTATCATATTAATTTTATGCGATAGTTTCTGATACTTTACACGTTAGTGTTAGAATTTTCTGTGTGTCAATAGTTCACGCTTTTTTCTGGTTTTGAATAATTAAACACAAATTATGAATTTGTATAAAAATACCATGTGTTAAATAGTTAAAATTATATTAAAAGTATGCAAGTTTCAGCAATTGCTTATTTCCTTTTTTACAGAAAAACGTTTATATGAAGAAACATGAAGGGAGTTAAAGCTCTAATTTTAATAGGCTTAGTAACGTTTGCTTTTGCAAAAGAAGAAAAACAGAAGGAAGATATTGGTACTGTCATTGGTATTGATTTAGGCACAACGTATTCTTGGTAAATAAATCTCAATGATTTCTTTTATTTTAATAAAGATATGCGTATATGCATATTCAATGAACAAGTGTTTAAAACAAATATTTTAGCGTTGGAGTTTATAAAAATGGAAGAGCAGAGATTATAGCCAATGACCAAGGAAACAGGATTACACCTTCCTATGTAGCATTTACTGCTGATGGTGAACGTTTAATTGGAGATGCTGCAAAAAATCAGTTAACCACAAATCCTGAGAATACAGTTTTTGATGCCAAACGATTAATTGGTAGAGAATGGTCAGATCCTACTGTACAACGTGATATTAAGTTCTTCCCATTTAAAGTAATTGAGAAAAATAGCAAACCACATATAAGAATGGTGATTAACGGTGAAGAGAAAGTATTTGCACCTGAAGAAATCTCTGCCATGGTACTTGGTAAAATGAAAGAAACAGCAGAAGCATACTTAGGAAAAAAAGTTACTCACGCTGTTGTTACTGTGCCAGCCTACTTTAATGATGCCCAAAGACAAGTAAATATAGAATATGTGCTTTAAAGAACAAACCAGATTTAACTTTGAAAGTATTTACTAAATAAATGATTATTTTTATTTAGGCTACTAAAGATGCAGGCACTATTTCTGGACTTGTCGTTATGAGAATTATTAATGAACCTACAGCTGCTGCAATTGCTTATGGTTTGGATAAAAAAGATGGGGAAAAGAATGTGTTAGTCTTTGATTTGGGTGGTGGTACTTTTGATGTCAGTTTGCTTACAATTGATAATGGAGTGTTTGAAGTTGTGGCAACAAACGGTGACACTCATTTGGGTGGCGAGGACTTTGATCAACGTGTAATGGATCATTTTACTAAACTGTATAAGAAGAAGAAAGGCAAAGATATTCGCAAGGATAGTAGAGCTTTACAAAAATTGCGTCGTGAAGTTGAAAAAGCTAAAAGAGCACTCAGTGTTAGCCATCAAGTATGTTTTGTTATATTGTGCCCAAAAATAATTTAGTAAAATCTATGATATCTTTATAACTAATATATTTCGTTTTTATTTCATAGGTGAGGATCGAAATTGAGTCGTTCTTTGAAGGTGAAGACTTCTCTGAGACCTTAACACGTGCCAAATTTGAGGAGTTGAACATGGATCTTTTCCGTAGTACCTTGAAACCTGTACAAAAAGTTTTGGAAGATTCCGATATGAACAAGAAGGATGTGGATGAAATTGTACTTGTTGGGGGCTCTACTAGGATTCCCAAAGTTCAACAATTAGTTAAAGAATTCTTTGGAGGGAAAGAACCTTCACGAGGTATTAATCCTGACGAAGCCGTTGCATATGGAGCTGCTGTGCAAGCTGGCGTTCTTTCTGGAGAGCAAGATACGGATGCTATTGTACTTTTGGATGTTAACCCACTTACAATGGGTATTGAAACTGTTGGAGGTGTGATGACTAAACTTATTCCAAGGTAAGAAAATCTTAATTACTTTTTATTTACGTTCATATCATTTATATAAATAAATAAATGCATTTTCATTTGTAGAAATACCGTGATTCCGACCAAAAAGTCGCAAATCTTCTCTACTGCATCGGATAATCAACACACAGTAACTATCCAAGTATATGAAGGTGAACGTCCAATGACGAAAGATAACCATCTTCTTGGTAAATTTGATCTTACTGGCATTCCACCAGCACCACGAGGTATACCACAAATTGAAGTTACCTTTGAAATCGATGCTAACGGTATTTTGCAAGTATCTGCTGAGGACAAAGGAACTGGAAATCGAGAAAAGATTGTTATTACCAACGATCAAAATCGCCTTACTCCAGATGACATAGAAAGGATGATAAAGGATGCAGAGAAATTCGCAGACGATGACAAGAAATTGAAAGAACGAGTAGAAGCGCGCAATGAACTCGAATCTTATGCATATTCTTTAAAAAATCAACTAGCTGATAAGGAAAAACTTGGGTCAAAAATTACTAATTCCGATAAGGCTAAGATGGAAGAAGCTATTGAAGAAAAAATTAAGTGGCTAGAAGAGAATGCAGACACCGATCCAGAGGAATATAAGAAACAAAAGAAAGAACTTACAGATATTGTTCAGCCTATTATTGCCAAATTGTACCAAGGTGCAGGTGTTCCACCAACAGGTGGTGATGAGGAAGATCTGAAGGATGAGCTTTAACTAAAATATGATCAATACTTGTATTTGTCCTAATTTAGACTGAATTAACAGTCTCATGCAAATGTTGCAGAGATTAATACGTCGTTGAGAGGTCGTCGAGTATAAAAGACTGATCAACGAACGTTTGTTATCCACTAAGTTACGACAGAAGTAAGCAATGCATGGCTGTGGAGATCAGTCTATGTATTGTTCTAGCGTATGTCATAACGATATTGATTTTCTCTGATAAAAAAATACGTGCATCTAATTGAAGGATTTTTATTACCGAGAGTAGTTTCATTAGTTTTCACGTGAAATACTGCGCGTTAATTTATTTTAATTAATTGTTTTGTATGATTTATTACATATAATCGAATAAGCAGTTGTGTAATTTGCGTTACAGGTTTTGCAATGTGTATATGAATAGAATGAATGTGCAAGCGCGTATGACTTGCGCCTATTACTGCCTGTAGACAAACTATATCGTACCATGTACAATATAGCTGTTCTGTGTGAGTGGTTGTCATATGTATTAGTATCACGAAATAAACATTTTTTCAGTAAATCATAATAAAAATTTTTTTTTCAATTGTAACATCTATTTGTATAACTAGGTATCTGAAAAGAAATAATACACGGAAATGAATTTAGAACAAATTTTATTCAGAGATATGATTTAGTTTTGTAACAAAAAAATTCATGGACAGAATTAATTTTCTATAGCTTTAAATATCTATTGTGTCTATTTAATTGAATTGTAATATTAACAGATGTAATTGTGATATAACATATCTTTTTGTATAATCTTTTTAAAATATTTCTGCTTATTGAAGTAATTCAGTCACTAAATACTTCTTTTACATACAGATTAGTTAGGTACAAAAATAACTTCAAAATCCCATAACAACAATTTTCTGTAGAGGAATCTTCTGTAGTAAATTTTTTATTATTTTCTTTTGCAGTATAGATTTCGATTTTATGATTTAGAAAAGTAATCGTGTTGGATATAAGATTAAAAAATAGTAATACTATTCACTATCTACGAACGCAATCACAAAATAAAGGATCTCACAATAACCCTCACATATAATCGATTAATATCAGTGATTTTGTTTCTTTCATTTACAAATATAAAAGATCGAAATGAATAATAAATAACTGTTACCTATACACACATTAAAAAAAAAATCTAGAATGAATGTCTACTTTGCAAGTTTAGAGTACTTTTCTTGTTAATAATAAGGCCGAAAAGTAGGCATTCTGTGAATGATTTATGAGTAATAATAAATATTTCATTCCTCGAAGCATAATTAGTGCAACCCTGTGAATCCGTCGATATATTTAGAATACTTTTAATCTTTTTTGAACAATTGTAAAATTTAACAAATTTCTGACGTTACATCAAAAGGTTTGTGAGTAATACATATTCTCTCACGGATTATCAAAGGATAATGCACTAAAAATGCATTTAGAATAAATTTGTTTTTTTTTTCTCTTCTGTTTTTGAATCTCATTAATTTTCAGGAACATGTTATTGTAATTATGTGTACTTCGAGACTTTGATAATTGATCAATATATACTGTTCATGTGTAAAATATATATACGAATGTACATTCGCAAAATGAATAATTTGTGCTTCCTGATGAAAATTAAATATTTCAGATTGAAATACCAGATAATTTTTTTATAAGGAAGCTAACTTTTTTGTTCGAATAAGAAATATACAATAAATGCAATAAAAACGATATATGTATACTTGTTTTACCTTGATATACATTACATGTCATTTACTACGAAATTTTTATTTCTGCCTTTTTCTTACGGTAAATATTCTTTTCTTTTTTTTCTTAACTAGCATGAACACATTGAATATATTGTTTTTCATATTCCCATTACGTAGAATAGCACACAACCTGAACTTTATGGATTTTAAAGAAAAGCGCAGGTGTACAATCTTTTAGATGGACCTCGCATCGTGATAATTTTTTTTATCTTTTTCCCTTTTTTTTTCTCTCTTTTTAACATTGCAAATTTAACATCGGACGTATTCTTACAATAGACAATGAACATGCCTAATTTACGCAGTACGATCGAAAAGAAATTTTCTCCATAAACTCAATTAGAAAATCTAAATTCATACATTCTTTATGATTAATGATTCAAATATTGATAACCGGAAGTTTTAGTACCGTTGCCAAGTTAATTGAAGTTTGTAAAATATAATAAACAATAAAAATGGCAGTTGTAAAATGACAGTGATATAGCACATAATTTAATATTACTTGAAAATTTACACATTTCCTTTCGATCGTAAAATAAAAACATATACATTAAATTACTTTGCATTATACCATTGAATGAGATAAGCTACAACTATAGATGTAGCTTATATTCTAGTACTCTTAATTAGTAAATAATAACTAGG